AAACGTCTTCGAGCGGGAAGCGAGTTAACGCTTAAGAAATTCCGGACAGTGTAGGGGATCCAATTAAATTCGATCGGGACTATCTCCTCGAAATTTGACCCTGTGAAAAGCGATCTCCCCCGGCGAACGAGCTAGCTAAGCCATAGCCGGCCGAAGATTTGAATTTGAATGAGCGTCCGCGCTGCCTGGCCATTGCTCTCGGCGTCCGATCAGGATGATCTAATGGGAGATGGTGGATAGAGTCTAGGGTTGGAAGACAGATCGCGTTACAAATTCCCTGGATCGCTGGCCCAGGGGAGGCGGTAGCACCGGTTTAGTGGAGCACCGCGCGGCTCGGCGCGGCTCGGCTCGGCTCCGCGCGGCTCGGCGCCACGAACAGACGAGATCGAGGTTGTGGGAAAGATAGCGCCTCGGTACGTGAGATCTCGGGACCGTGTTTACGAGAGGATGCCTGTTTAGTGGGTCTCACGGGAGCACCCGGCGCGTTCCCCTTTATCATTCGGGCTGAACGAAGCGTGATTAACGCCGACTTAGGGACGATTAATTCCTTCTTGCCCGATCCGCACCGCGAGATTCATCAAAACCGGGCGGATATCAGATACCGCTTGTATCTCTCCTGGCCGCGATATCGCGGTATGTTAATACGCGGGGAGATATCTCTGCGTGGATTTTTCCTCGGCCAGGAAGCGAACACCCCAGACGCCTATCCGGCCGGTTGGTTGGTTCGCTCTTATATTTATATCCACGCGGTGTTCCGCGTGCTCCCGGCCCAACGAAAACACGGAAACAGTAATTGGCTGATCGCGCGTTGGGAATTTCCGCGGCGAAAACGCGGCCTTACGCCGCAAAAAACGGATCGATGTTATGGGAAACCGCGTTTTTAACCTTTGCGCGCAGCGGTCTTCGGAGCCTCCATTCATCAAGCTGCTCGCGATGAACGGCGGAATTTAATTGGGACTTTTATTATTCCGAGGGACCGAGGGGCAGGCTACACGCTCGAATTACGCGCAATTACACCAGGATTGAAATGCAAAATTACAAATAGGGATGACTTATGGGAACATCGCGGTGTACGCGATCAGATAAAGGGATTCGGAAAAAAGGGAACGAAGTGGTTTTCGCGGAGGAAATTGCTGATTTATAGTAAACATGTGAACGTTGTTGCACGGTAATAGAATCTTTTTATAATCAGCGTTTTACGATTTATAATTGTGGGATAGTCGAACTGTTGTTCTTCCACGTTCTTACAGTTTTTCTCATTTTTGCGGCCGTTTACGCGGCCGTTCTTGTCGCGCGCGCGCGCGAATAAAACTCGCGGTTTTAGTGTCTATAGGTTCGATATAATACGAGACGTTTATGGTGTAAGTAAGATTGGTGACCCATTAACGTCGCACTTATTTATCGCGACCAATTTATTGAACACGTTGTCTGTACAGCCCTGTGTGCCCGGATTTAATGCCCACTTCGAGCGATCATCGGCCGACATTATTTATTGCACCTTTCGTCATCGATTACTACGTTCTTATTTATCGCGACAGTTTTATTTCGCACGCGTTTTAAAGAAATATTTCCGAATGCTGACCGTAACTATGCTTGATGTACGATTAGGCTGGGATTTTATGCGTTTGCGAGAAGCGTGGATAATTTGAAGAGAAAGAATTAAAGAGAAAGGAATTCATGCTGTTTTGTTCATTCTGTTTTACAGTGATTCGAATTATTTTCAGAATCTTTTTTTCTAAATTTCATTGTGTAACTTGGAGGGGATGTTTTCCAATTTTTATTTCATATTAGCATCTATTTAATATTGGTACAATTTTTGGTGTTAATGCCGAATAATTTAGCAGTGCATTTAAGTATTAAAGAGAATTTAGATGCATTGCTAAATTATTCTGTATTAGCACCAAAAATTCTATTAATATTAAATAAATGCTATTATGAAATAAAAATTGAAAAACGTCCTCTTTGAGTTACAATGAAATTAAGAAAAAGATTCTTAAAATAATTTGAATTACTGTGAACAGAATTTACGAACTGTATAAATTCCTTTTTAACATTGTTCATTCTCCAATTATTTATTGTCGCTATAAGGGCACAATTTTGGATAGAAAAATAGGCAGGAGTTAAAAAAAGTCATTCAACTTTCTAGAAGCGAATAAAGACGATCTTTCTTCCGCGTCTACGAGCGCGGTCCGGTCGCATGCGCCGGCCGACGGGTTCCGCGTTAAATCGGAGACTAATTGCGAGCCGAATGAATTAGGGAAAACACATGGCCGAGCATCCTCGCGCGGTAGATCGTACACGGACTGGGGCCGATTCGGTTAGCACGAACAATTCATCCAATTAGGCGAAGAGAGCCTATCGGGCTGATTTGCCGGGCGACCGGCGCGTCGTAATATTAAGTCTGTCTTCCAATTAAAATGATCGTAATTGCGCGGTTCCCGCGCAAGAAGCAACCGCGGCGCGCGAGCAACCCGCGAGGAACCGTTAGCCGCGAAATAAATTTTCCCGCTGCCGGAAAAACGGCGTCGTTTGTTAATTAAAATCCCATAGGCCGGGGCGCATTCCCCGTCGAGACCGATATACGCCGGGACGTTTTCGCCGCGTCGTGTCGCCTCGCGTCGCGCCGCGCCGCACGCGGCCGTCTTATCGAGGAATTCGCAAATAAATAATTGGATACTCTAATTAAAGTGGGCCGCGACTCCCGTCCGCCTCGTTACGGCCGCTCGTGGACGCGCCGCGCCGCTCGCGATTTATTGGCCGGCGTCGCTTCGAAGAAAATGATGGCGTTATTGGGCGGACCCTGATAAGTTAGGGGCAACGATAACACGAGTTATGGTTAATTACTGGAACACGGCTCTGTGACACACGCCGGCGGAACCACCTCTCGTTCGGGACGGCCGTTCTGCGATCCACGATCACTACTCTCCCATGGTTGACCAAATCCTTTATCGATCGACGAGACCGTTCGTTAACGACGGCCGCGTCGATATAAAATGTGCCTGAAAAATTGCACGAATTAGAGTGCTTTCGTTCGATTAAATGAAAATTCCAACGCGAAGTTATACGACATCGATTACTTTTTCGATGTTCCTACCACTTGCCGATCTGAATCAAATTAAGGAATCGTAACCGATCAGCGTGATCAGTGTTAAGAATTAAATTGTTAATCATTTGCACTCGAAGCTATTTTAACTGTAAATCTAAAACAATCCTTTTGACTTATAGCGTTTCTGTTTCATACGACAAAGTGCATTTTGTGCAGATGAAATTGGGTTTCGCGATTCATACAACGGCTTCACTTTTGATCATTTTTTCAATCTGAACTTTGACGATATAAAAATGATCTTGGAACGTGATATAACAATTTCAGTGGTACCTTAGAGTCTCCAATCGAGTGCAAAGGGTTAATAATTTTGTCACCCGCGTCGCATGGGCGACGCGACAGTCAAAGCGAATGTAATGGGAGACGAGCAATGCTCGTATAAATCGTCATTCGACAGTTTTCACTTGCTTATGGACAACGGGAATTTTTACAATTCGAAATGAAAACAATTATTTTTATATATCGGCGACTGCCTGCGTCTTGATATTAGCTGACTGCAATATTAACTCGGCACGCAGGCGGCTCGCGAGATGTCGAGGAAAAAGATGCAAGCTTCGAACGTTAACGTCTCGAAACTTTGCACGCGGAAGATACGAGTTTGTTCGTTCTAGTTTACAACGTCTGATGCATCAGAGCTCGATTCGGACTTGGCAGAATGCAGCTCGAATCGTTCCGAAGCGGCGCGAACAAGCGTCAAAAATGTTTGCAACGGATACCGGGGTAAACTTCAAAAGCGCCGACATGCGTTTTCTTTTTCGCGATGATTTACCCGGCGAAGACAGGTTTTCGTGCGGCTGTGATGAAATTGTTGCCCACTGTGAAACGATATTATTCTTTCCACTCACGGTTCTTCGCGCGAACGTTCGCGCAGCTGCGGCGAGAAATGTTTCTGATATCATTTGCAGATCGTGCATTGATTTGATGACAGATGCTTTATGATCGCTTTTTGTGAACAATTATCTACAGCATCTCGAATGGTGATATTATATTTATCAGCGAACCGTGTATTTTTATGAAAGTAGGAATTTCTGTTTCTTCTTTTTATAGTTTAGTATGTTTGGGATAGTATATCTATAATTTTTCATTCTTTTGTGTATCATAATTCATTTATTGTAATTCTTCTGTTTCAATTTTATTATAAGTTTCCTGTTTGCAACTGCAGCTATTTTATTAATCGTAAAACAAATACGTCTATAATATATTTTATTGTAAATATTTTTTTTTATTTTATTGCAATATATTTTTCTCGGACGTACTAAATTGATTTTCTACAAAATACTACCATTTAAGAGATAAAACAAAATAACGAAGTAATCACTGTTAATCGATGTACGCATTTAATTAATTTCTTTTCTATGAATATTTTCAATGAACATAAATCTGCTTTTTCTTATGGAAAATTATGAACGACGAAAAAATTCCAATTATTCTAGTTGCAGAACAAATCGTAAGGCAAGCGATTAATCGTTAATTTCATGTAAACGTTATATCGTTCAACTCTTGGGTTAAATAATTTACTTAATGATTGCGTTAGCTTGCATCGACACGTTTCCGAACGAATTCCAAAGCGTACGCAATTACTCAGAAACGGCGGCCACCAATCAAGTCCGCGGCGAAAGCTGAATTTTTTAAAATTCGCTCGTTGTTTCGTAACTTCGAGGTCGTCGTCCTTATCCAGACCGAAATCCTTGAAATATGCAGGATCTCGTCGAGTGACTGATACGTGCCACGGCTGTCTTGTCACTTATTCATTCTCCCTTCCCGTTTCACCGGATCGTCTGTCAGCCGCGACAGAGTTTGCGATACTATTTCGGCGATCGAATGAATCGCGCCCGTCCGTGCATTCGCCCTCGAAACTTCCAGGGGATTACATCGTTGGGAAATCAATTTGTTTCAGGATGGAGACGTTCCAGGAGGCCGGGGTTCAAATGCTGAAAGAATTCAGAGCGTTGCTGCAACATTCGCCGCTTCCGCTTCCAGGGACGCGACTGCTTCAGCTCCTCGCTCTGAACATGTTCGCCATCGAGTCGACGCAGCTGAAAGGTGAGTACCGAATTCATGAAATTCTATTACGATGTCGTTATTCTCTTCGTATAGGATCGATCTATTATCGTAAATGTTCTTACGTTACATCTAAGAGTATCTTTGCGTAAGTTGTGAATTCATATTTTCATTCTTTTTAATTAAAAGTCATTATCGTCATCAAGAAATCATTGCGATGGTGGCAAATCGATGTTAGTGTAGCTTGTAATGCGAGCTGCTTTTTGTAAAAGGATGCCATGTTCTAGGAAAAATAATTCAGGGTAGTTCCCGATCGATTTCAACATAACTTTCGTGGTAAAAATGTCCACATTGTGGAAACCGCTGTCAAGCTTTTAATTATTTATTTCTTGCTTCTGCAAATTGACAACATTATGATTTTTTTTTCTCAGCTAGCTTAGATTAGTGCTTAATAATTTGTTTAATAGAACGATGTAGTTTTTATTTCTACTATGTCTCGCTTTAATTTCATTTTTAGAGTTTGAGAACAGAAGGATCTTTTGTTTCGATTTAGAAGAAACAAATAACGTTCATATTTAGCAGATTGTTGTACAACATATTTACGGAATATCAGTAGGATCCATATTTAGCAGATTATGTACGAATTATGAGTAGGATTCATATTTAGTAGATTATGTTTGAAAAATGATTGACGATCGTATTTAGTAGATTACGTACGAGAAATAAATAATAATGAATAAAAATGGATAATCTATTTAGTAGATTATGTACCAAAAATTAGTAACGAACATATTTCGCAATTACGTACGAGAAATAAATAATAATGAATAAAAATGAATAACCTATTTAGTAGATTATGAACCAAAAATTAATAACGATCATATTTCGCAATTACGTACGAGAAATAAATAATAATGAATAAAAATGAATAACCTATTTAGTAGATTATGTGCCAAAAAATGAATAACTATCATATTTAGTATATTATGTGCCAAAAATGAATAACAATCATATTTAGTAGATAATGCGCGAAAAATAAATAACGATCACATTTAGTAGATTACGCACGAAATCTTGCCGACAGTCTGACTCGTAGCAAGATGTTGACACCGAAATGAAAATTCGGTCTCGGTCGAGCCGAAAAATCGCGGACCCCTTGGCTGCATCAGCCTGTAGAACGAATCGAAGGCGGAAGCTTTGACGTACGAGCGCGAGACGAGCCCGGAGTAGTTTGTAACGGAGCGCCTCCGCATCAGAAAACGCGAAGATCTCCGGGGACGATACGTTGGATTGAATTCGAATGGGTTTTGGCAGCAGGCGTAGTCGTTATTCTGATTTATTGCGGCCGTTCGCGCTCTGGCAGCGCCGACAGAACGACGTGAAACAATAAAGCCGGACTCTCTCGGAGCGCGCGGGCCTTCGCTCGGTCGTAGTAACATTAAATAACGAGACGGCCGTGGCCGTGAAAGAGATTCGATCTAAAGTGCCGGTTACAACGTTGTCGTAACAACTTTCTTCTTCTCCTTCTACCGCGGCGGCCTATCACGCCCGCTCGAAACGCGCGCCGGAACCTTTTATCGATCAATCGCCGCTCTCGCGCGCGGTCGCGCCGCTCCAAATCTCGCCGAATCGCTCGTACCCGCCGCGAGTCCACGCGAATCGCGCGCGACTATCTGCCGGCGGCACTGACTTTTTAACTCGCCCGATTGCACGATCTCTGGAAAAGCTGAGAGGTCGGTGGATTTTATGCAAATTGACATTTTGCTAAGCTTACATGAAATCATATAAAATTATGTGAAATGATTGTTTTTTAAATCGTGTCAATTTTTTGTTTTGTATGCGGAGGACCTTATTTTTAATTTCCTTCTTTTTTTCAATGACGTTGTCGAGTTGAAATTAGTGCGATTGTTCATTCATTTCACTGTTTTCAGTTTCACTCGCTCATTTTTGTAGCAAGTGCATAAAATTCGCAGTCCAATCAGCTGTCTCTTATACACATCTAGATGTGTATAAGAGACAGGTTTCACTCGCTCATTTTTGTCGCAAGTGCATAAAATTCGCAGTCCAATCAACGCTTCTTTTCTTTTTCAATGACGTTGTCGAGTTGAAATTAGTGCGACTGTTCATTCGTTTCATTGTTTTCAGTTTCACTCGCTCATTTTTGTCGCAAGTGCATAAAATTCGCAGTCCAATCAACGCTTCTTTTCTTTTTCAATGACGTTGTCGAGTTGAAATTAGTGCGACTGTTCATTCGTTTCATTGTTTTCAGTTTCACTCGCTCATTTTTGTCGCAAGTGCATAAAATTCGCAGTCCAATCAACGCTTCTTTTCTTTTTCAATGACGTTGTCGAGTTGAAATTAGTGCGACTGTTCATTCGTTTCATTGTTTTCAGTTTCACTCGCTCATTTTTGTCGCAAGTGCATAAAATTCGCAGTCCAATCAACGCTTCTTTTCTTTTTCAATGACGTTGTCGAGTTGAAATTAGTGCGACTGTTCATTCGTTTCATTGTTTTCAGTTTCACTCGCTCATTTTTGTCGCAAGTGCATAAAATTCGCAGTCCAATCAACGCTTCTTTTCTTTTTCAATGACGTTGTCGAGTTGAAATTAGTGCGACTGTTCATTCGTTTCATTGTTTTCAGTTTCACTCGCTCATTTTTGTCGCAAGTGCATAAAATTCGCAGTCCAATCAACGCTTCTTTTCTTTTTCAATGACGTTGTCGAGTTGAAATTAGTGCGACTGTTCATTCGTTTCATTGTTTTCAGTTTCACTCGCTCATTTTTGTCGCAAGTGCATAAAATTCGCAGTCCAATCAACGCTTCTTTTCTTTTTCAATGACGTTGTCGAGTTGAAATTAGTGCGACTGTTCATTCGTTTCATTGTTTTCAGTTTCACTCGCTCATTTTTGTCGCAAGTGCATAAAATTCGCAGTCCAATCAACGCTTCTTTTCTTTTTCAATGACGTTGTCGAGTTGAAATTAGTGCGACTGTTCATTCGTTTCATTGTTTTCAGTTTCACTCGCTCATTTTTGTCGCAAGTGCATAAAATTCGCAGTCCAATCAACGCTTCTTTTCTTTTTCAATGACGTTGTCGAGTTGAAATTAGTGCGACTGTTCATTCGTTTCATTGTTTTCAGTTTCACTCGCTCATTTTTGTCGCAAGTGCATAAAATTCGCAGTCCAATCAACGCTTCTTTTCTTTTTCAATGACGTTGTCGAGTTGAAATTAGTGCGACTGTTCATTCGTTTCATTGTTTTCAGTTTCACTCGCTCATTTTTGTCGCAAGTGCATAAAATTCGCAGTCCAATCAACGCTTCTTTTCTTTTTCAATGACGTTGTCGAGTTGAAATTAGTGCGACTGTTCATTCGTTTCATTGTTTTCAGTTTCACTCGCTCATTTTTGTCGCAAGTGCATAAAATTCGCAGTCCAATCAACGCTTCTTTTCTTTTTCAATGACGTTGTCGAGTTGAAATTAGTGCGACTGTTCATTCGTTTCATTGTTTTCAGTTTCACTCGCTCATTTTTATCACAAGTGCATAAAATTCGCAGTCCAGTCATCCTTAAACCACAGATATCGATGAAATTGTCGCAGGTTATTCTTCAACGGCCGAACCGAAAGAGAAATATCAAACGCTGACTTGAAAACGCATTATAAAAAAAATCTTATAAGAAACGTGTAATGCATAAAAATCCAATAAAAAAAGAACATTCAAGCTTAACGGAATAAAATGTCGAAAATTGCTATAAAATGTCTGTTCGCGGTTCTCAAGGAAATACAATTAACAGCACGTCGGCGCGGCAGGAAGATGACGCGTCTAGTTTTCGTTCAGTTCGCGAACTTTTTCGCACGGGGCAGGCTCGTATTTGCATAAATGCATCCGGGGCGAGTCTATCGCGCGACGAAAGTAGCATCGTCGCGTACCGAACCGGCCAGAAAAGTTTTCGGATCCGGACGTTCGCCGGGATCACGGTATCGTAAACCCGTCGTTTAATTTTGCGAGCATCGAGGAGAGCCGTGGATCTCCGGGCACTCGGAGGCGAGCGAATTTAAGCGTAAAATGGAATTCAGAAGCAGGTGGGTGGCGCGTAAAAGAAATCGCGAGCGGCTGACCAACGCGGAATACTTCCCGTCCACCTTGGTCGACGGGATTTCACGGGGCAACGGAATTCGTTCCCGGTATTGAGCCGTAAACGCGGCGGTTCCCGTAGAAATTTACGGACGTGCCGCTTTCGACGCGTGTAAATAATACATCGGGCCGAAACGGCGGGCCGTTTTCACGCCCACGTGCCCCACCTCCGAATTTTTTAACGACCGCAGATTCGGAAATCCTTCGGACCGTAAATAACCGGTCGGAAATCATGCACGAATCGGCCCGGGGAAGCCCACGGCGCGCATAAAACGTGCGCGTAAATTCCGGCGCTTGATTGAACATCCAGGTAACATTGTACCGTAATTGGAATACGGACGATCGCGGATGCAAATACGCGGTGAAAAAGATCCTCGTGTGTAGACTTCTTCTAAGATAAATATTTCGTTCTCGAACGAATCCTGTATTTCTTCGCGCATTAAACGTAACCGGAAAAGATAATGAAATTTTTCTTCCTCGGTACTCGCACGCGGTTAAGCAGAAACACGTCTGATCATGGTTAGCCTTTTCTACTTCTGGTGTGTATAAATTGCTGCACGAATCAGCTAGTTGCATTCTTCAGATCCTTATATGAATTTGCCAACGTTGTTTTTCAATGTCAGACACCGTCGACCATTTTCCACGTGTGCATAGAAAATCTTGTGGGATTAGAGGAGGTAATCGCGGAGCTGTCCCTTAGATGAGACACTATAATATTGGTGTACAAATGTTCAAACTTGATTTTCTCTAAAAGAAAGAAAGCAGTCTCGAATAGTGATAAGTTAAATAGTGATAAAATAGTGATAAAATAGTGATAAATAATAAAATATAAAATAGTGATAAATAATAATAGTGATAGCGTTATAAAATGCGATTGAAGCCAGCACTGCGCGTATCGTTACGCCTTATCTGA